AGAGTTAAGTGTGAGTAATCCCTAATGGGAGGAGGCAGGGAAGAGGATGTGGATGCCTCTCCTATCCTCCCCTGTCTGATGAGGATAGACCATTCAGTAACGCAGGGCAAAACCTCCAGGAAATACATATAATGGGAGTCACTATTAAGCCTTAATCAGCTTTGAGAGAGCATTAAGACTTGGCTCGTTTTCCTTTTAATTTTAGTGATTTTGGTGATAAAATTACTTGGCTCTGAACATTTCAAAACACCCTTTACTATACCACATAGGATACTGTCATGTTTTCCCTTGCAGTGTTTTCCATTCATTTGCACAAATTATTTTTTCTTCTTCTTTTAAATGATGCTAAAATAAACAATGAAAATAAATAAAATAAACAATGAAAAAGGAACCTATATTCTCTTAGTGAATAATTAGATACTATCTTTGAATACACAACCAAAGTCTGACATCCAATAAATCCAAGACAAAGCTTCAATTAGCCCAGATAATGCCCATAAACCCGGCAGTGCTTTACAAAGATATGTAAATGTCAGCACCTTTATTTTACATGGAGAAAATAGAGCACTGAGAGCAGACATAGTCAGATCACATCATGTCCAAGAATCCAGACCCCTTTATTCCCAGACTAATTAGCATCTCTTATAACAGTGTTCCTCCTCCTATGAACATTCAACTGTGCTGTAACATACACCAACAGACAGGAGATATTACCCCTAATCCTTTGGAAACAGCTGTGATTTTTCTGTAAAACAACTGCATATGCAGTCATTCTGCTTATTTGCAAGTTCAGTGAAATGCTGCTCTTCTAATTAAAATATACCTCTAAAGATTAAAAATAAAATTAAGAAAATTATCTTGTCTTAGGGAAAAAAAAATCAAGTTTTGGACAACAACCAAAAACATTTCAATGAGACTATCTTTGGCACTCAAAAGTGAAGTATTCAGAAATCCAAGCTTTTATAAGTCTTTATCTAATTTGAAAAATATAAATATTGTTAAGCAACAAACGTTGCTGAATGTAGAACAAGACACAGAAACAGCTGGGCTACAATCAAAGAGAGGTCCAGATACCTCATGATTATCTTCTGTCCTTTGATAACATCATCTGCCCTCATAAAAGGACAGCACATACAGGGGAAGAAGAACAGACTATGAGTCCATTTGCACATACAAACCTAAACTCTGCTCCTCCTACACCAAAGCAGCATAACAAGCACCCATTAAACAGCAAACCGAGGCATGCACACCAAGATTCAGAGAAAGCTTTGGGTCGCTTCAAACAGTGACTCACGCTAATCTCTGACAAACCACAATCCAGCTTCACCCAGGTAAAACTACTGCAGAAATCCAGAGAGAGGATTCAGGCCTCTGCCACGCCGCAGCATGCAGCAATAAGCAGAAATGACCGGCGCAACAGAGGGTGAGCACACAGTTAACAAGCACCATAGCACAAGGAGTTGTTCAACAGAAAAAAACAAACTTGGAAAGAGAAGAAGTGGTTAGTCAGGAGTGATTATAATAGCCCATAGTAAACAGTCCGGTTCACCAATAAACAAAGCAAATACCCCCTCCTGCAAGATGCTGGGGAATACTGAAAGGAAGTGCAAGCTCTCTGCTTTCAGTACATTCAATCAGTGATTTTGGTGGTGAGACGCCCCAGCTCACATGAGGGAATATTGAACCTCTCGATGCACTGAAGATGAGCACAGCACGTGGCTTACAACCCAGAACACAAACAGCAAGGTGCAAACACACACTCACTTTACCAGTGGATTTAGAGAGACTTGCAAAAGTAAGTGCAAAAAATGAAATCTCCATCTAACTCTAAGACCTTACCAACTCCTGTTTCTCAGTAACAAACTGTCAGTGCCTTCTGTTCTGGATTTCAGAAATAAAAGCTCAGTGCTGCAAGGACTGCATCCTGTGTGGAGTCCCAATTCAGCACATTAGGTTATACAGGAAAAGCCTCTGAAGGCTTTGGACCTGTATCTGTGGTTTGACGAATGTGCAATTAAAATCAGCTGCTCCTAAAGTGGCAGAAGGGTGGAGGCTGACAATAATAAACCACAAGCTCCTCTACAGTCATTTGAAAGCAGTGTCTTCTCCCCAGCTCTACCAGATACTAAATTAGAAACAGTTCTGGCAGCATTATGTCTGCTGCTCATGAAGCAAAAGGGAAGAGACTTGCTAAAATTCAGCTGACAGGTTTTTGCATTTATCCTAGATTCAACCACATGCAAGTCTGTTGAGTGTGTAAAGTCCCTGCACTGGCTTCAGTCAACAAGAAACAAAAGGCCCAACTAAGCACAGTTCTGAGGGCCCTTCATTCACAAAAGCACACATTTCTCCATAAAAACATCTCCATTGGACTGCATGTGGTAAGACTCTCAGATGAATTACCATAAGCAGCTACTGTTGGCAACTGTCAACAAAGAATCAGAGCTGACCTTATCTGGATCATAACTATCTATGGAAGTGCTCAACACGATGAGCAAGATGCACTGCATAGGAGAGACCACATCTGCATTATCATTAAAAGTCCTCCAGTTCCATGCTGCACATTCAACAGTGCAACTTGTTGCCATTGCGGAGATACTCACATGAAACTCAATCACACAGCATTATTAAAATATCCATACATTTTAGCATAAATTTCCTATTTAAACCCACACTATGCACCCTACTCTAGGCTTTCAAACCAGTATGACTACAAAAAACTGCCATGCAGATTCAGAACCTTCTATTTCTTGTCTGTAAAACTGTAATGACACACAAACTTCTGAACTTTTCCAGAGCAAATAGCTATTTCAGCTTCACAGCAGTAATGCTTTCTCTCTGCATAATGTTTGTTATCAAACCAGGACAGGCAGGCACAGCAGATTTTGACGGATGCCTAAGGGAGAGAAATTAACGCAAAATTCAGTACAAGTGAACCTCTGTCTTATTATGCAGCCTCAGGATACAGACTCATGACTTCACTAAATATACTTTTCCTACAAACTATCACTCCATGTTAATCATGCTTCTGAAGAGCACCTCTGCTCAGCACAGAATTTACTATGACAAACTAGAAGCTTATCACATCAACTATCACGCAATCCAGTTTGATAGGAAAGGCTCAGAGCCTGCTTCCAGTTACCACAACCTTTTCCAGTATTTTTATGGATTCTTGCATATATTTACTAGAAAACACAACAGCAACAGCATAATGAGAGATATCAGAACTGAAGACAGGGCTGACAATACTGTGACCAACAAATCTGATCCTGCGTTAAGAATTATATGTGAAGATCAACAGGCCTGAAGCTTTGAGCATGCACACTTTGATGATGGTAGAATAGAAAAACCTCAGAAAAAGGAAGAAAAAGCAGAAGAGACAATTCAGAGCAAAAGGAAGTGATACAAGGAAAAACAGTTATCAAAAATATGGCCGGCTGAGGAGCAGCCTGAAGAGGTACGTAGAAGAGATCTTGCTTTATGACAGCAATGGGGAGCAGAAAGGCAATTCAGCCAACTTGTTCCAAGATGAAACCACATGTTAGACAAGTGAGGCACAGAATGCTGTGGGATGGATGTCCAATGGGACCTTCAAAACTAGGTGTCTATTCCTCATCTATCCATTGCTGCAGGGAAGTGGATTCAATGACCAGTGTACACCGCTAATAGCAGGGGTCCCTCCCTGTTGCCTAATACTGGATTATGCAAAAGACCATACAGAACTGCCAAGTCAGGGCTTTGCATTATCATTCCACACCCCTACAGAGATTGCTGAGATAAAGCATTAGCCCTGGACACACCGCTCTCATTAACTCCTCCTCCTTCGTGCTCACTCACCATTAAAGCTGGGCACACAGCTGACAAAGCCAGCCTTCTGGTCTCCTTGTACTCACACAGCTGATGCAGAGAGAAATGACAGGAATTCCAGCCCTCTTCAATCCCCAGTGACTCTGGCACAGCCAGCTCTCCTGAAAGATGAACTTTCAGCCTGCAGCAAAGTCATTCTTCTAAGCTAGGGGTCAGCTTAGTCTTGGACATCCCTTTTGAGATGATACTAGCTGCAGGGACGCATTTGTGCTCTGTATGGGAAAGCTTTAACACATTATGTTGGACACACACCAGTACACGAACTGAGGAAATTCTACAGGACGCTACTCCAAAACAAGAGAAGAATTCTTGCAAACTCAGAACACTTGCACAGACTATCAAATTCAGGGCACATTTCCAGTACTGCCTGACCTAATCAACCCTCTTTGAAGAAAACAAGATGCTGTAACATTTGTTTTCTAAGTTGACTGCTGCAAAAGAAACTGCTATGACCCGAAGCAACAATCTGAATCAAAGGAACACTTCCAAAAATACAGTTCCAGCCTGAAAAAGTTTGCTGAACTCTTGAAATTTTTATCACCACACTGAAAAAATTTTGAAGGTTGCTGGTAGGCCATGCAAGAAAATCTGACTTCAGAAAGGGTGATTCTGACAACATGGCCTGCATTTCAGCTGCTCCTGAAAGTGGACTGTAAACTTGTAAGTAAATACACATTCCTGAGGAATAACCACATTCAATTTTCACAATAACATTTAAAATACCTCTGAAGAGTAGACAAGCCACTGTGGCCCCACTCTCAAGAGTGACAAGAAACACAAGAAAGGCTACCTGAAGTGCATGAGCTTGCAAAGAACTCTTCATGGGGAGAACCACACATGCACGTGGAATTTAATGCCCAGTCCAGGCTGTTCTAGGATAAAACAACTAACATCTGGTCAAGGAAGCCCCTTGTCCTACAAAGATTCTACAGAAATACAAACTTCCAGTCACACCAACTGCTTTGCAAGATAGAGACCTCCAACATTAGCGGGTTTTGCATGGAATTATTTTCCTTGGTGTTATCAGGGCTGCTTAGGTCAACAACCTGTCAGCACTGCAATTTCTTTCCAAATGGTAATCAAAATAACTATGCACACCTTCTTCAGTCTTCCACGTTCCAAGCGTTACTTACACTTGTATGATGAGAGACGCTGCCTCCAATATTGAGGTTTTTGAGAAGCTGGGGAGACCCTCCATACTGCCCTGAGATCTGCTTCCTGACTTCAGCAGCTACAGTTCTGAAACGAGACAGGGACAACATTATCTCTGTAAAAGAATTACAATGAAGATGATATATCAAATACGCTTTACACTGCTGTTGGAATGAAACCAAATACTTAGTGTGCTGGTTGGAATAACAGTGTCATTGGCTAGTGAGAACAGACCTTGTATACTAAATTCCCAGAGAATCACAAAGTTCTCACAAGGCTGCATACACACATCCTTAACAGCAATTACATTTTTTTTCCTTTTGTGAACTGCTCTTTTGTGCACATCTGTGGCAATAAAATGCATGTGACACCAAGCACAAATAACTTGTTCCCAGCAGGCTCTTTCCAGTTCCTACCCAGGAAAGCTCTCCTCCAGTCCTCTCCGCACCCCTCAGCAGTTCCAAGCCTGGTCACACATCTGCTCCTGTGCTCTGCTCTCTCATTTTCATCCCTTGCCTATTTTTGTTTTTTGCAGCCACAGAGATGAGGACCAGCAGCCACTTTCCACCCAACAGCCAACCCCTTCAACACCCAGCTCAGGGACAGAAAAGCAGTCCCACGCAGGGTGGGTTGAAATGTCTAGGGAACAACACACAGGAAACAACCAACCGGGTCAGAACAAAAAACTGTTTCCCCGTTCACGTAGGAAAGGTAACAGTGGGACTATGGTGACTAGCAGAGGGGACGTGCAACGCGCTGGCTAGCAGGACACGATGCCTTATGGTCTCTGCCAGAGAGAAATCCCACCACTGGGCAACTTCTCTCACCAGGAAGGAAAAACATAGATCAATCCTTCCATGCCTTGAGGGTAAAATCCACACTGTGCCCCTCTGGGGTTTTCTACTTTCCCCAATAAGCCAACATTGTCACTGGTAAGCCTGAAAACACTAGAGTTAAGTAAACCCACCAAGGGAACATGACAGCAAAGGAACAGCACGTCAGAGACGGAAATGCCGATAGTCAAAGACTGTCTTAACGAACAGCCACGGGTCAAGCCCTAACACAACCATCCACAGCGCTCCATCTTGTAACCCAGCAGTACACTGCCGCTCACCTCGGCAGTAGAACTGGGATAGCCAAGTTTTTGAGTATGGTGGAAATGGTTTTGTTTCAAAAGCAAACCAGAAGCCGAGATTCTTTCCACAAAAAAACGTTTTGCTGAAAAGCTGCTGACTACCCCAGTCTACATGGCCTTACCAACACAAGAGTGCTCTTCTCCAGGAGTCAATGACCAATTTATTAGTGACAAACCCACTCCCAACTGTCATTCACCACATCGCAGCACTGCAGTCCACTCTGTTTCCCAGAACAAAGCCCCAGCTCCAAAGGAATGCTAACTGGTGCATAAGACAGATGAAGAGGCTGCAAGGACACCGGTGATTTTTTTTTCTGCTGTATCAGCGATCTTTGTGGAAACAGCGTCATTGCCAGCAGACTCGCTCCTGATCTCACTCAAGGGAACATGCTGTGTATCATCAGCATGGTGCACGAGCTGCTAAAATCCTGTCAAGCAAAGATGGTTAAACCTCCCCTGAGCAAAACCTGGACATCAGGGTGGGCTCCTAGCTTCAGGACTGCTGTGGCAGTGAACGCTGGTAGGCAGGAATGGGGGCAGGTGGAAGCAACTGATGTCAATGGAAGACAAGGGAACTCTAAAAGGGAACTAGCTGGGACAACCGAGCCCACCATGGAGAGCAGATGTTTCCTCAGGCCAGAGGATGGGAGTAAGATTAGCTAGAGGAAGCATTATTTTGTCTTTTAAAAAAGTGGACTGCAGAAGGGAAAAAAAAAAAATTGTGTATTCTGGCTGCAAGAAGTCATTTGCTTCATGTTTGCCTTTATCCACAGGAGACTATGTTTTCACTTCTGGAGGGTGGCTTCTGAAAGCAGACCAAACAGCTCCTGCTGGGGACGGACAACATTCAGGCTGTCTAATCGCCCTCAGAAGAATCATCTTCCTTGCTCCCACCATGTGCATGCATACACTCACAGATACGCACACATGAGAACAAACCATGCATGCTGCTAGCATTTATAGGAAAATTTGGAATGTATTAAAATGGCTGCTTGGCATGGAAAACACCACGCATCTGTGGCTGACGAGATTTAAAAGCTTGCCCCCGGGTTGCAGACGATCTCTGCTTTAAACCCGATCTCTTACTCGGTGTGTGTACTGTGTAATTCCTGACGATATGCAGAAGAGAGCCCTTCACCGCATGGCTGGCAGGAAAAATCAGAACCCACATTTCACCATGCAGCACAACACAGGAAAAACTAAGAATCTTTCCCCATTTTCAAGGGACATACATTGTTTCCAGATGGAAAGTATAGCCAGAGGAGGAAACCCATCCTCAGCTGTGAAACCACAGCCCATGCCTAGCCACGTTACTCAGCGCTGCTCCTCTCGCATGCGGTGGCTCCTTATGAACCTGAGACATGCTTTGTGATAGACTCCAGAGGGGTTCTCAGTCCCTTCTCCTTCTGCGTGTTGGCCTCAGCTGGGCAGCTCTGCAGGGGCTGGGAGCTGTGCTGTATTTGGAGCACAGCCTGTCAATACACCCTTAACTTTAGCTACAATTGTGCTTTACCCCAATCTGAAGTAGAAACAAGCTCGGCTGCAATTAGAGCATTGCTTAGGGGCACTGTAAGTTTGCATGGATACTATCACACTGCCCGACATCATTCCCGCTGAAAAGGTCATCTGATGCAACAGGGGAAGAAACACGGTAAAACAAAAGGGTGACACTGATCAGCATAGCTTCTGACCATGTGCTGACCATCAATGGCTGCTCCATGCTCCTGCCCCATTAATAACCTCACTGGGTATTAAAAATTCCCCTAAAGCATGATCACAGAAAGTCAGAACTGAACAACATCCAATTGGTTTGACCAAGACACCATCGTTACTTTAAAGTCTTAAGTGGTCCTACCTCTCTAGCTTTCACAATTTCCAATCAAACCTCTCCCCACATGAAGTAGCTGGCTACCATCTAGACCTCAAAATTCCTGAGTGGAGTCTGCAAGACTTACTACTACTTACTCCAAGCCTGCAGTCTAATCCACAGCTGTTGTTGGCTACCTTTCTGTATCACTGCATTCACAAATGGATCAAACGCCATTTCCCCTACTGGAAAGCATCATGCTTTGGACATTTAGAAACCGTCTTCTAATGTAATCTGATCACCAAGTGTATTTATGGGTAATCTATACCCATTTGGTTTGGTGCCAACATCATCAGTTAGGCTCAATAGCCCTCCTCTCACTCCTTCCTACTTGCAAGGTATTCACAAAAATTAGTCCTACGCCTCCCAGACTTCCTTCTGCAAGGCTAAGCAAGGTCATATCCTGCAACTGGCTTTCTGCTCCCTTGATCACCCTGATGGCTTCAGATAAGGCCTGACCAGGGCTTTGTAGAACCAAACGAGTATTTTCCTATTTAGAAAACACCTCAGCTGACTACTTTTAGGTCTGCTTTCTCACTGCTTCATCACAGAGGTTCACAGTTTCCCTAAAACTGATAATACACTTGCCTTCTCCTCCCCCATTTCCAAAAGCTGTTTGCCCATGACAAATGCCATCTATTCAAGACTAGTATGTTCATGTTATATTATAACCCTGAACACTATTTCTAAGGAGAAGCTATGCTTCCTAAACCAACTTAGGTTAAAAAGTGTATTACACCAAACCCAACCAGAAAAGAGAAATAAATCTCAAAACAGTCTCCAAATGGAAAAAAAAAAAAAAAAATTTTGGCAGAAAAGCCATTAAAGCTCTTGATAATTAAAAGGACAAATAAAAAACTGCCTCTTTAATAACTATCTTATATTGAACATGTAACCTGGGATCGTTAGACAAACATTCCAGTTAATTACAGCCCACGGCCTCATGAATGTATGTTTAAAGTACCTCTTCCCTAGTCACTTCCTTTCTGACCTTTCTTCACTCGTTAATTATTGTGTGTGCATGTGGTTCACACAGAAAAAAAAAAAAAAGACAAAGGAGAAGAAAAAAAATCCCCTTGGAACTGGCTTCTAAAGCAAAACAAGACCAGTCATTCTCAAAATACTCTGAGCTGCAAATAACAAAATGAAACCATTTGTTTGCACTTCCATGTTTCTTTACTACACACAAAAATAATTGGTTGCTATGCGGCCCACTGGGTCAAACCCAAAAATTGTTCCTTTTTTTTTTTTGGCTTAAGAAGCATACTGGAAACATCAGTTCTTCTTTTTGCCTTCCCAACAAAAGGCTCACCAAGACCTGTCCAGTTACGCCAAGCAAGGTTATGGACTCTTCCATTTCACAGAAAAGGTGGGTGAGGATACAGTCATCCAGATCATCTGCTGCAGTCATTTGAGGAAGTCTCTCTTTTCCATAGCCCTCCCGATTTTGAAAGAGCAATGCAAATTGTTTCTCCCCATCCCGCTAATTAGAAAACAGTTACTCCTGCCTGTTCTTCATCTTGTGTGTCATGTGCAGTGACTCTACATTCAGTAAGCCTTTGCCTCTTGAGAAAGTCAGCCTGGCACAGCGAGGCATCTGTGCCAATCCACAGCAACGCTGCTTGTTCTCTCTCTGCAGCAGAGAAAATTGTGTTTACATAGTTTACTTTTTAAAGTGAAAGCATCCTTCTTTGTTGAGCTGGCTCACTTGCATACAACTCTGCACATGGCTGGAGGCATCTATCCTACTTTAAGTCAGTATGCCTGGGTTTGAATTCCCAAAGCCAAATGGCACTGGCCAGTTGCATCTGTCTCGCCACTGCAGTTGAGATGACCTGTCCCTCTGTCTCTACGTGCTCTGCCTGGGCTCTCCTGCCTGCGGAACAGACGGCTCCATCCAGGCTTGAACCACGGTGTGAGTCACCAGGTATGCATCGCGGTGGATGAGGGAACCTTCTGGAGGGGGAGCTCTGGCCTTGAGCTACCCCGCCAGTTCAGCAGTACCCTGGATGCAGCCCTCCTCCTGAACCCGAGGTCCTGTTTCCTTCAGAGTGAACTCTTGGTTTGATTTACAACCCGAAGCTGAGGAAATACCCAGCCTGATCCTGACTGCCGCGGGGTAAGTGTGGGTTCTTAAATTAACACGGAAGATGAGCAACAACATGTTCCCTTTTTCCTTACCATTGATTAAAACAGAAAACACCATACAACCTACCTGTGGTGCTCTTCTGATAATATTTGATTATTAAGGCTGAAAGCGTCACCCCTAGGCTACAGCAAAGGGAATGAGCTCCCAAGATACCTTACTGTGAAAATCACCACAGGACTGGGTTCTTCAGGAGAGATCAAAGTCACATCTCACGTTAAAAAAACCCAACCAAACAAGGAAGCCTTGTACAGAGAAGCAGCTTTGTAGTGGAGCCCTGGAGATGAACTGTTCTCCCTGCCCTCTCGCTTGCTTTAAGCAGTCAGAGATTTTCTCAGGCTTCCCAGAGCACTGCCAACTCCCGCATGAGACATCCACAACAGCTGAGCAGGGGCAGACAACATGACTTTTGGAGAAGAGAAAAAAGCTCCTCTGCCGCTTCTGTTAAAATACTTTCAATTATCCATGATAGTGTTTTGACAATGCAAATGGCATCTGGATGTGGGAAGAGAATAAACTGCGATGAATACCCTGCTGCGACCACTACATTTCTGGCCTGATTCGGTGCTTGTGGAAGCCAGTGACAGCTTTGCTATCCACTTCAGTGGGTGCAGGTTTCACACCATCCCTGTTTACCCTGAGGCAGGGCAAAGGCGGCTGTCAGTCTCCCTGACACATCGTTCAGGCAATGTAAAAGGGCTCTAAATGAACACAAATGTAAATTTAGTCTTCCCAAGTCACCTTTTACAGTACCCCATCAGTGTAAAGGGAGCTTCAGCAGAAATAAGATGCTAGCTCTAAATGTAGTGAACAGAAGTGTTTTTTCCTCGATTCAAAACCATAAAGACAACAAGCTGTGATTACTCCAGAAAGCTGTCCATATACAATGTAAGAGCCCTGGATGATGGGGAATTTCCAAATCACTGAATGTCTGAGAGCAGGGTCACCCCCTTTCAGCCAGGGCTCTGCTAAAGATACCCCCAGCCCCAGACAGCAGTGCTTCACGGCACCATGAGGTTCCCGTTCATATAGAAGCACCTCAGAAGAAAGGGCTGGACCCATGAGGGTGAAAACAATTTTCCCCAGACTCCATCAAGAGCTGGGGACAAGAAAACTGAAAATTCTCAGCACGAGAGTAAAGACCAGTGGTAAAGAATCACACTCTGGGCTTTCTGTGACACTGAAATGCACAGCAAAACGGAGGGTAAGGCAGGTATGTTATTCCAAATCAGAAGGATCCTCTTTAATTGTGGGAGCAGTAAAGGAAGAGCAAAACTCTTTCCAAGGAAAGACACTTTCAAAATGATGATGGTCTGACCAAAGAAGCAGTTCTGGATTCCCTAGATAACCCAATCTCAGGATGGTCCAAGAGCAATGACAAGGCACCAAGACAGGGGCTCACATGAAAGGCTACATGAGTTTGCCTGAACTGTGTATGTTGCGTGATGTTTAAAGGGTGATTTTTTTCTTTTTCTGTATTTGAACTGTAAAAAACTTGCATACTTTTTCTTCTGCCTGCCCCTGGAAAGCCTGGAGTGCTGCGATACAAGACGTTTCAATTACTGCAACATTCAGGAACTCAGAACTGACCTTTCTGGTGGTGGGACTTCCACATCCTATTTCTGTCAAGCAGCCCCATACCCACAAAACGTACTGGGATAATGCAAGCAGGAATCAAGCGCAGCCAGGCGAAGGGGTCAGTGCTCAGTGGGGACAGTGCAGCACAACCCCAGAGAGGCCAGACGCGGCACTCAGCTTGGTCAGTACTGAACACCCAGCCCTGCTGAGAGTGAACAGGCAGCTTAGCTGGTTCCTCCAGAATAACGTATTGACTGGTTTTTATTGTATATTATTATTTATTTTTTATTTTATTTTTTATCTCTGCCGGTGTGGATCCTGCCTTCCACTAACTCTTCTCTAGTCCCCCAAACACCATATGAGCTGAACAGGGGTACTAAACAGAAGTACATCTGTTCCTACACTGGGATGGAAACAATAGCGTACAAGCAGCTACAGAAGTATTATGATGCTGCAGAAGGACATGTTCCAATACAGTTTAACAAAAAATTGATTACCAATATATTTACGATTAAAAATTAAAAATTTCAGGCCAGATTTCAGGTATTATTAACCCACTATAGTAAGTTTAATTCAGGAGTTTCTTTTGATGGAGTCAAGAAGACTTAGTAAGTACATGTGATGACCAAAGTTCAGGCTAAAAATCTGTTCTAGTTTGAAGCCTTCCAACAAAAATGCAGCATGACCTAGTCAGAAAGATACCTTGTAACAGACAGTCTTGAAAAAATATTTTGAAACTGCTGTAGCAGTCACTGATAGCTGCTACCCCTAATATTTAAAGATTCCAGCAGTAATAAACAGACACCACATGGCAGTGGAGTTCTATATGTACCCTTGAGGTGCACCGCACTGGTTGAAGAAAGCACAGGCAGTAAATCAGGGCCGTGAAGACCACATCTGTGGTCTTTCTAAGAAACAGAACTGCTCATCTCACATTTCTTTTTCTACCACTACTGTAATAAGCAGCTTAGAAGCTTGCATCTGTTTGGTAGGTAGGCCTTAAAGTAATTTACCATCATGGATCTGAATTACATCCCATTTGCATCACACGCTATCAGGCAAACCAAGAGCAGCATGGCTATTTCCTGTGAATAGGACAAATGCTATGTCTACCTCGATGAGTAAGCCAAACCGGAGGGCAGAGTGTGAAAATGTGATGGATCTATTCTTCTTTAAACAATGGAACCAGGGAGGGCTTCCAGCAACCACCAACACAGCTCTTGGGACTTCCGTATCCTCTGAAAGAGTAACATTCAGAGCAGCATACTCTGTGTCAGCATGAGAAGGGCTACAGCTCAGTCTGGGCACCTCTGGGTACATCAGCTTCTTCTGCCCACAAGTTTTTGCCTTCACATGCACTGGATGTGCAGCCCAGGAACCAGGAACTTTAGATTTCTCAGAAGACAACACTACAATATGGGAAATCCCAGAGAGAAATACAGAAGTCTTATAA